TTTTTTTTTTTTTTTTTTTTTTTTGAGACGGAGTTTCGCTCTTGTTACCCAGGCTGGAGTGCAATGGCGCGATCTCGGCTCACCGCAACCTCCGCCTCCTGGGTTCAGGCAATTCTCCTGCCTCAGCCTCCTGAGTAGCTGGGACTACAGGCACGCGCCACCATGCCCAGCTAATTTTTTGTAGTTTTAGTAGAGACGGGGTTTCACCATGTTGACCAGGATGGTCTCGATCTCTTGACCTCGTGATCCACCCGCCTCGGCCTCCCAAAGTGCCGGGATTACAGGCTTGAGCCACCACGCCCGGCCTCCAGTTCCTTTTAATACATTTTTTTTTTTTTTTTTACAGATTGTCTAACATTATCTGTGGGAAGGTTTCAGAGACCACTTCACTCTGCCACTACTACTGTAAATTCCCTCTGTGGGATGGATTTTAAAATATTAAGGATCTAATATTTGTGAAGCTGTAATAGATCTGGGGTTTGGGGAAGAGTCTGAGATGACACCCATGTTTCTAGCCTGAGTGAGGGACTGACTACAGTAGTGTCAAAAATGAAATAGACTACAGAAGAGCAACTTTAAGGAAATTACAGGAAAGTTATGTTTTAGACAAACTGAAGCTAAAATACCTCTGGGAAATTCAAACAGAAACTAATACTTGGAATCATGCTCCTAAAACCACGGGAGTGAATGAATTAGGACAGGAAGACATGTAAATAAAGGAAATAGTAATCAAAAATAGAACATTTGGAATATGAAGGCTGTAAGCTGATAAAATGACCAACAAAATTGACTAAGAAGGTATTGTCAGGAGGAAGGAAAAGGACCAGGAATGTGTGGTCCCCACAAGAAAGAAGAGACAATTGCAACTAGTATGAAATAATGCAGACAGGGCCAATCAAATAAAGACTGAAAAGAATACACTGCAATTGGCAACTGTGAAGTCACTGGTGACCCTGGCAAGAGTAGCTTCAGTGGAAACCAAATTCCACAGGGCTGAGGATTAGATGTAAGTGAATAAAGAAGAGAAAGCAAATGTAGACTACCTTTGATATTTCTAGATAAAAAGGAAGAGGAAAAATGGATGGTAGCTAAAGATGCAAAAAGACAAAATCAAGGACATATTTGCAAGTATCAAGTTTGAACAATGAGTATCAAGCTCTGAGACTGAAAATTTAATGATAGAGTTGAGTATTATGCAAATATTTAGGAGCATATCTTGGGAAGTAAATATCAGAGAAGGCTTTCAAAAAGAAGTAAAGCCTGGGAAGAGTCTTGAAGAATAAGTAGTTAGGTAGGTGAATACCAAAAGGTTAAAAAAATAAAAAGGACAAAAAACATGCTGTACTTTCTCTTCCAGTCAAGATGAAATAACAGCAAGAAGATTTATCCTTCTGAAAAAAATTTTTAAACCAGACAAAATATACTAAACAATGGCTTTCAAGATACCAGACATCAGGTAATAAAAAACAGTGATCCCTAAGAAATGAAAAACAAGGTGAACTTTATGATTGCCCCAGCTTACCGTCTAGAAAATATTTCTAGGCTATGGCAGAGGAAGAGGAAATCCAAGCACAGACCAGCAGTCTTTCTGAGTTGAAGAGCTGAGCTGGAAGTCTGGGAAAGAAGAGTGCTATACAGAGACAGAGCTCTGAAAATCTGAAGGAGACCCCCTTCAGTGCTCAACTGAGTACTGATAATCAAATGTATATGAAGAAACTACACAGGGCCAAGGGAAAAACTAACCTGTATTCTTTTGTTTTGTTTGTTTATTTGTTTGTTTTTGAGGAGTCCCACTCTGTCACCCAGGTTGGAGTGCAGTGGTGCAATCTCCACTCACTGTAACCTCCGTCTTCCAGGTTTATGTGATTCTCCTGCCTGTGCCCTGCTAATTTTTGTATTTTGAGTAAAGAAAGGTTTTCACCATGTTGGCCAGGTTGGTCTTGAACTCCTGATCTTAAGTGATTTGCCTGCCTCAGCCTCCCAAAGTGCTAGGATTACAGGCATGAGCCACCATGCCTGGCTTTTGTTTATTTCTGAGACAGGGTCTTGCTCTGTCATCCGGGCTGGAGTGCAGTGACATGATCTTGGCTCACCACAGCCTCAACCTCCCAGGCTCAAGCAATCATCCCACCTGAGTCCCACAAGTAGCTTTTTCTATTTTTTTGCAGAGATTGGGTTTTGCCATGTTGCCCAGGCTGCCCTGTAGTCTCCTGATTACAGAGAAAAGTACTCAAGTTCAGATGGGTAAGAAATAGCACCTATTCCAAAAAGTCAGAATGGAAAACTTATTCACAGGACATCAGTTAAAGTACTAATAAAAGTCTTGATTTAGTAGGGTTGAAAAATTAACCCCAGACGAAATGCAGCAGTGGACTCACATGACAAAGCTTAAAAGCAAGACTCAAAAGTATCAATGTGTGCAAATAATTTAACCACAGCCCAGAACAAAGCTCAAGAATACCTATAGTGATACAAAAATATCCAACACCCCAGTAGGTAAAATTTGCAATGTCTGGTACTTAATCAGAAATAACCAGACATGCAAAGAAGCAGGAAAATAAATCCTGTAATGAGAAAAAAAAATGTGAATCAATTAAAACTCATCCAGAAATAACAGAGAGGACAGAACTGGTAGATAGGGATATTAAAGTAAGTATTGTGATTATATTTCTATGTTTAAGAAGTTATAGGAAAGACTGAACATATTATGTAGAGATCTAAGACATAAAAAAGACCTCATGTCAAACTTTTACAATAAACACTACAATGTTTGATATTAAAGAAAATATACTTGACATGTTTTGGCTCTGTGTCTCCACTTAAATCTCATGTTAAATTGTAATTCCCAATATTGGGAGAGGGATGTAGTAGAAGGTGATTGGATCATGAGGGTGGGTTTCCCCTTGCTGTTCTCATGATAGTGAGTGAATTCTCATGAGATCTGATGGTTTCAAAGTGTGTGGCACTTCCGCCTTGACTCTCTCTCTCCTCCTCCACCATGTGAAGATTGTGCCTGCTTCCCCTTCGCCTTCTACCATGACTATGTTTCCTGAGGCTTCCCAGCCACACTTCCTGTGCAGCCTGCAGAACTGTGAGTCAGTTAAACCTCTTTTTTCTTCATAAATTACTCAGTCTTTCATAGTTCTTTATAGCAATGTGAGAATACGCTAATGCAACACTGTAGGAATTTAATGGCAGATTAAACAATGCAGAAGAGAAGATTAGTAAATTTAAAAGAATTTCAATAGAAATATTTAAAATGAAATACAGAGAGGAAAAGACTGAAAATAAATGAAAGGGGCATCAGCAAACTGTGAAGTAAATTCAAATGGCCAAATATGCTTGTAATTAGAGTTCCCACAGGGAGAGGGACAGAAAAATATTTTAATAATCATCAATAATTTTCCAAACTTGATGAAAACTATAAACTCACATTCTAATCCAGATTAAAGAAGTTCAACAAGCTCCAAGCACATGAAACATAAAATTATACCATAGAATAATATAATCAAATTGCTTAAAACAGTGATAAAGAGAAAATTATATAAGCAGCCAGAGAAAAAAGAAACATCATATATGAAGGAACAAAGAGAAAAACTACAGCAGATATCTCAACTGAAACAATACAAGCTAGAAGACATTGACATGATATCTTTAAAGTACTGAAAGCAAAAAAAAAAAAAAACCTGTCAACTTAGATTTATTTAAATAGTGAAAATATTTTTCAAAGATGAAGGTGAATTAATATCATTTAAGGTAGTTCTTGATAGGTTAAAGATGTATACTATAAACTCAAAAGTAACCACTAGAACTATACAACAAAGAATTACAGTTGTATTAAATTTTTATCACTGTTAAAACAAATTACTACAAACTTAGTGGCTTAAAAAACACAAATGTATTATCCTATACTTTTGTAGAACAGGAATCCAACACATCTCACAGAGCTAAAATCAAGGGGTTGACAGGGCTATGTTCCCTTCTAGATGCTTTAAGGAACAACTTGTTTCCTTGTATTTTTTAGTTTTTAGAGGCCACCCTACCTTCCTTGGCTCATGGTCCCCTCCCTCATCTGTGGAGCAAGCAATGCTTCATGTCTCTGTGTCTTTTTTCCATAGTGACATCTTCTTCTTCTACTTTAAGGACCTTTGTGTTTACATTGGGCCTACCGGGAAAAATGCAGGATAATCTTCCTGTTTTGAGGTCAGCTTATTAGCAACCTTGATTCCATCTTAAACCTTAATTCCTTTTTGCCATGTAATTTAACAGATTCACAGGTTCCTGAGATTATAACACTGACATCTTTAGGGGCCATTATTCTTTTTGTTTGTTTTTTGTTTTTGAGACAGGGTCTCACTCTGTTGCCCAGGCTGAAGTGCAATGGTGTGATCATGGCTCACTGCAGCCTCAAATGAGCCTCCTGCCTCAGCTCCTGAGTAGCTAAGGCCACAGGAATATGTCATCACACCTCACTTAGCTAATTTAAAAAAAAAATTTTTTGTAGACCAGACTTGTCTCCAACTCCTGGGCTCAAGTGATCCCCCCACCTTGACCTCCTAAAGTGCTGGAATTATAGATGTGAGACACTGAGCCCAACCTAATGTGATTATTTATGTGACTGGGTTCAAGTCTACCAACTTAGTATTTGCTCTCTATTTATTTATCCAATTTGTTCTTTGTCCATTTTTCCTATGTTTATGCCTTCCTTTGAATTAATTATTTTTCAGTCTATGGCCATACTACTCTGAACACACATAATCTTGTCTGAATTAATTATTTTTCACATTCAATTATACCTTCTTTGTTGGCTTATTAGCTGTGGTAGTATGATGCCTTACGCCAGGCATGGTGGCTGATACCTGTAATCCCAGCTCTTCGGGAAGCTGAGGTGGGAAGATTGCTTGAGCCCAGGAGTTTGAGACCAGCCTGGGCAACATTGTGAGAACTTGTCTTTACAAAAAATTTAAAAATTAGCTGGGCGTAGTAGCACACTCATGTAGTCCCAGCTACTCAAGAGGCAGAGGTGGAAGGATCGCTTGAGCCTGGGAGGTCAAGGTTGCAGTGAGCCATGCAATATTGCACCACTGCACTCCAGCCTGGGTGACAGAGTGAAGCTCCATCTCAAAATAATAGCAATAATAATAATCACATTAAATGTAATTGGTCTAATTCCAATTAATCAGCTGAGATTGTCAGACTGGATAAAAAGCAATCCATCTATATATAGCCTATTAGAAACTGATTTTAAATGTAAAGAAACAAATAGGGTAAAAGTTAAAGGATGAAAGAAGATACATTATGTTAACACTAATCAAAAGTAGCTTAAGTGGCTATATTAATATCAGACAAAATGGATTTCAGAGAAAACAATGTTACCAAAGATAAAGAGGATTGTATCATAATGACAAAGGAGTCAATTCATCAAGAGAAATAACAATCCTAAACATTTAGACATCTAATAATAAACTTCAAAATACATAAAGCAAAAGCTGATCAAACAATGAGGAGAAACAGACATATCTATAATTATATTTTATCACCACTCTCTAAATAACTGATGGAAGAAGGAGACAGAAAATAAGTAAGAATTTTGAAGACTTGAACAACATTAACAAATTTGACCTAAAGACAGAAAACATATCCAAGTGCACAGGGGACATTTACCAGGACAGACCATATTCTGAGCCATAAAATAGGTGCCAATAAATTCAAAAGGATTTAAGTCATACAATGTTCTCTGGCTACAATGGGATTAAATTACCAATGAATAATAAAACAATATGTAGAAAATTCTTCCAAATATTTAGAAGCCACATAACACACTTCTAAATAACCCAAGGGTCAAAGGAGTAGTCAAAATGGAAATTAAAAAGTATTTTGAACTGAATAAAACTGTAACACAAAATATCAAAATTTGTGCGATACAGCTAAAGCAATAGAGGAAAATGTACAGCACTAAAATGTCTACATTAGTCTCAAACCAATGACTTCAAATTAAATTCTAAAATAAAATAAAATAAACTTACATTCTAAGAAACTAAAAAGAGCAAATGAAATCCAAATTAAGCCAAAGAAATACAATAATAAAATTTAGTGCAGAAATCAAACCAGGCACGGTGGCTCACACCTGCAATCCCAGCAGTCTGGGAGGCCGAGGTGGGCGGATCACTTGGGCCAGGAGTTTGAGACTAGCCTGCCCAACATGGCAAAACCCCATCTCTACTAAAACCACAAAAATTAGTTGGGTGTGGTGGTGTATGTCTGTAGTCCCAGCTACTCAGGAGGCTGAGGCACAAGAATGACTTGAACCTAAGAGGCAGAGGTTGTAGTGAGTGGAGATTGTGCCACTGCACTCCAGCCTAGGGAAGAGAGCAAGCAAGGCTCTGTTTGAAAAAAAAAAAAAAAAAAAAAAAAAAAAAGGATTAGTGCGGAAATCAGTAAAATAGAAAACAGAGAAACAATAAGAAAAATGAGTAAAACCAAATATGGTTCTTTGAGAAACACTAACCAGCCTAATCAGGAGAAATGAGAGAGGAAGAACCAGAGCCAGAGTAAGAGAAAAGAAGACACAAATTACCAGTATGAGGAATGAGAGAGATGATATAACTATAGGTTCTATAGATGTTAAAAGGACAGTATGAGACTATAATGAACTTTATGTGAATAAATTTGACTAATGGGATGAAATGCAAATTCCTTGAAAGAGGCAATCTGCCAAAGCTCACTCAAGAAGAAAGAGACAGCACACATAGCAATGTATCTATCACAAAAATTAAATTTCTAGCTTAAAACTTTGCACAAAGAAAATTCCAAGTACAGATGGTTCACTAGAGAATTATATGTAACATTTAAGGAAAAATTATACCAATTCTAAACAAACTCTCCAGAAAACTGAAGAAAAGGAAAAACTTCTCAACTCATTCTATGCCAGTATTATTCTGATATTGACTTTAGGAAGGAGCAAAAAAAAAAAAAAAACAAAAAAAAAAAAAAAAAACCTAGACAAAGACATTACAAGAAAAGAAAATTACAAGACAACAAACAGATGTAAAAATTCATAACAAAAATTTGATAAACCAAATATAAAAATATACCAAAATAATATCATGACCAAGCAAAATTTACTCCAGGAATATAAGGTTGTTTTACCATTTGAAGTCAATCATATTATTCACCACATTAACATACTAAAAAAAAAAAATCATCTCAATAGGAGAAAAAGCATTTGACAAAATCCATCAACTATTCCTGATAAAAACTGACATCAAACTAGGAATAGAAAGAAATTCCCTACACCTGATAAAAGGTATCTTCAAAAATCTACAGCTAACATCAGGCTTACAGCTGACTTTCAAGTCTGAAAGCTATAAGTCTGTAGCTTTCAAAAAACCTGTAGCTACAAGTCTGTGGCTTTCAAAAAACCAACAGCTAAGATGCAGACTTTCACCACTTCTATTCAATATTGTATTGGAGGCCCAGCATGGTGGCTCACGCCTGTAATCCCAATACTGGTAGGCTAAAGCAGGAAGACTGCTGGAAGCCAAGAATTCCACACCAGCCTGGACAACAAAGCAAGGGCCCATCGCTACAAAAAGAAAAAATATATAAAAAACATTGTAGTGGAAGTTCTAGCCAGGGCAATAAGGCAAAAAGAAAGAAATAAAAGCCACCCAGGCTGGAGAAGTAGTAAAACTGTCTTTATTTACAGACAACATGATTATATATAGAGAAAATCCTATGGAATCTATAAAAAAATACTACCAGAATGAATAAGTAAGTTTAGTAAGATTACAAATACAAGACCAATATACAAAAAGCAACTGTATTTCTATATACCAGCAACAAACAGACACTGGATTTTTTAAAAACACAAAGTATAGTAGCATCAAAGATAAGAAATACACGAATATATATACCTACTATGTACCCACCAAATTTTTTAAAATGAAATATGGATAAATCTGACAAAAGATATGCAAGATCTCTGTTGGAGGAGGAGGCATGAAAAAATAAAAATAAAAAAAGTGCAAGATCTGTACACTAGCCAGGTGCCAGTGTAGAGATCTTGTACATTTTTAGATTTTTTTAGAATTACAGATAAATCTGACAAAAGATGTGCAAGATCTGCACATTGATGCCCAGCTGGTATACAGATCTTGCACATCTTTCATCAGATTTATCCATAATCCTAGCACTTTGGGAGGCCGAGGCAGGTGAATCGCTTAAACTCAGGAGCTGGAGACCAGCCTGGGCAACATGGCGAAACAACTTTACAAAAAATTAGCCAGATATGGTAGCACACACTTGCAGTGTCAGCTACTTGGGGGGCTAAGGCAGGAGGATCACTTGAGCCCAGGGGGTCAAGGCTGCAGAGAGCCAAGATCGTGCCACTCAACTCCAGCCTGGGTGACAAAGTGAGACCCTATGTCAAACAAACAAACAGATTTGTACACCAAAACTATAACACATCACTGAGAAAAATCATAGACGATTTAATTAAATGGAGAGATATACTGTGCTAATGGGTCAGAAAACTCAACATTATGATTAAGCTGTTGATTTTCTCCAAATTGATCTATATTCCCAATATAATCCCAGTGAAAATTCCCAAAGACTTAAGAAACTGACAAGATAATTCTAAAATTCATATGGACATGCAAGAAACCAAAAATGGGCAATTTTGATCAAGAACAAAGTTCTAAACATCATCTGATTTAAACATATATTACAAAGCTAGAGTTAGGCCAGACGTGGTGGCTCACTCCTGTAATCCCAGCACCTTGGGAGGCTGAGGTAGGTGGACTGCTTGAGTCCAGGAGTTTGAGAGTAGCCTGGGCAACATGACCAAATCCCATCTCCACTAAAATACAAAGAAAACAAACAAGCAAACAAAAAACTAGCCGGCATGTTGGTACATGCCTATAATCCTAGCTACTTGGGAGGCTGAAGTGGGAGAATCACCTGAGCCCAGAAGGTCAAGGCTGCAGTGAGCCAAGACTGCACTCTAGTATGAGCAACCACAGTGAGACCCTGTCTCAAAAAAGAAAGCTAGAGTTATCAAGACAGTGTGGTACTGACATCAATATAGGCAAATAGATAAATGGGACCAAACAGTGTAGAGAAGTAGACATATAAACGCTATAAACACGTTTAATTGATTTTCAACAAAGGTAAAATGGCAATTCAATGTAGAAAGGATGGAAAAAATATGATCCTAAAACAACTAGTCAAATCCAAAAAAAAAAAAAAAAAAATTCCACCCATAGCTCTCACAATTTACAAAATAACCCTAGACCTAAATGTAAAACCTAAAATTATGAAACTTTTACAGCTAGGCATGGTGGCTAACGCTTGTAAATCCCAGCACTTTGGGAGGCCGAGACAGGCCAATTGCCTGAGGTCAGGCGTTCGAGACCAACCTGGTCAACATAGTAAAACCCTGTCTCTAGTAAAAAATATAAGAATAGCCAGGCACGGTGGTGCATGTCAGTAGTCCAGCTATTCGGGAGGCTGAGGCAGGAGAATCACTTGAACCTGGGAGGCAGAGGCTGCAGGGAGCCAAGATCATGCCACTGCACTCCAGCCCAGATGAGACTCTGTCTCATAAACAAATAAATAAATGAAGCTTTTAGAGGGAAACTTAGGAGAAAATCTTTCTCAGATACAACACCAAAAACACAATCCATAAAAGAAAAAATTAATAAACCAGACTTCATCGAAATTAAGATCTGCTCTTTGAAAGACACTTCTAAGAGAATGAAAAGGTAAGTTACATACTGGAAGAGAATATTTGCAAATCACATATCTGAGAAAGGGATTGTATGCAGAAAATATATATGTGAGAAAATAACACTTTGTTTTTTGATAGGGTCTTGCTCTGTCACCCAGGCTAGAGTGTAGTGGTGTGATCACAGCTCACTGCAGCCTTAACCTTCAAGGCTCAAGTGATTCGTCTGTCTCAGCTTCCTGAATAACTGGGATTACGAGTGTGCACCACTACATCCAGATATTTTTTTCCACTTTTTAAAAATAGGGAAAAATACGAACACTTTACAAAAGAAACATGAATGTCAAATAAGCATACAAAAAATATTCAACATCATTAGTCATTAGGAAAATGCAAATCAAAATCACAATGAGATACAATTACACACCTATTACAATGTATAAAATTAAAAAGATTCACCATACCAAGTGCTGAAAAGAATGTGGAGCAATTTGATACATTACTTATGGAAATGTAAAATGGTACAACCATTTTGGAAAACACTTGGGCGGTTTGATAAAAAGTTAAATATACCCATACAATATAGGCCGGGCACGGTGGCTCACGCTTGTAATCCCAAAACTTTGGGAGGCCGAAGTGGGTAGATCACTTGAGGTTGGGAGTTTGAGACCAGCCTGGCCAACATAGTGAAACCCTGTCTCTACTAAAAATACAAAACTTAGCCAGGCATGGTGGCAGGCACCTGTAATCCCAGCTACTTGGGAGGCTGAGGCAGGAGAATCTCTTAAACCAAGGAAGCAGAGGTTGCAGTGAGCCAAGATAGTGCCACTGCACTCCAGCCTAGGCAACAAAGCAAGACTCCATCTCAAAATAAAATAAAATATACAGTGTAACCCAGATATTCCACCCCCACGTAGTTACCCAGAAGAAATTAAAATATATGCTATACAAAAAGTTGTACACAAATGTTCCTAGCATCTTAATCTGTAATAACCAAAATCTGGAAGCAATCCAATCCATTAACAGGTGAATGGATAACAAATTATAATATATCTATACAATGGAATACTACTTAGGGATTTTTAAAAGCCAGCTATTAGGGGCAAGGCATGGTGGCTCATATCTGTAATTCCACTACTTTGGGAGGCTGAGGTGGGCAGATCACCTGAAGTCAGGAATTCAAGACCAGCCTGGCCAACACGGTGAAAACCCATCTCTACTTTAAAAAATACAAAAATTAGCTGGGCATGGTAGTGCATGCCTGTAGTCCTAGCTACTCAGGAGGTTGACGCACAAGAATCACTTAAACCCAGGAGGTGGAGGTTGCAGCAAGCAGAGATTGCACCACTGCACTCCAGCCTGGGCAACAGAGCGAGATCCATTGCAAAAAAAAAAAAAAAAAAAAAAAAAAGCCAGCTACTAGCATATGTTACAACATGAATGGACATAAAAACATTATGCCAAGTAAAAGAAGCTAAACACAAAAGACTACATATCCCGGCCGGGCGCGGTGGCTCAAGCCTGTAATCCCAGCACTTTGGGAGGCCGAGGCGGGTGGATCACAAGGTCAAGAGATCGAGACCATCCTGGTCAGCATGGCGAAACCCCGTCTCTACTAAAAACACAAAAAATTAGCTGGGCATGGTGGTGCATGCCTGTAATCCCAGCTACTCAGGAGGCTGAGGCAGGAGAATTGCCTGAACCCAGGAGGCGGAGGTTGCGGTGAGCCGAGATCGCGCCATTGCACTCCAGCCTGGGTAACATGAGTGAAACTCCGTCTCACAAAAAAAAAAAAAAAAAAGAAAAGAAAAAAAAAAGAAAAAAAAGACTACATATCCCATGATTCCACATAACGCAAAGTCTAGAAAATGCAAATTTAAAGAAACAGCAGATCAATGGATACCTAGGGCTGGGGTAGGAATAGGGAAGACATACAGGAACTTTTGGATAAATAGTGACAAAGCAAGTTTTTGGGGTGATAGAAATGTTATGGAACTGTACTGCAGAAAAAAGATAGAAAAAAAAGAAATATTATCAAACTAGATTGTAATAATGATTTACAACTCTATGCATTTACTAAAGCCACTGAATTATATGCTTAAAAGGAATGTTTTGTTATATAAATTATACATCAATAATGTTGTTAAAAAGAAATGTGTATATAACGTATGATTCAATTTATTTAAAAATTATAGAAAAATCTATAATGACTAAAAGCAAGTCAATTTCCTAGAGGAGAGGGTGAGAGGGACAGATTACAAGAAATTTTGGAGTTGATACATATATTCATTATCTTTTTATGGTGATGGTTTTATAGACATAAGAGATAGATATAAATAAACTAACAAAATTGTACAGTTTAAGCATGTACAGTTTATGATATGACAATTATACTTCAAAAAAGCTGCTTTCTAAAAGTATGGCGCCCACAGAAGAACAAGTATTCCATGTGGGTGGAGTGGAAAGGAGAAAGGAGTAACAAAAGAGCCATTCATGCACCCAAAAGCGTATTTATAATGGTTGCACAATGTCCATTTTTCCCTCATTAGACAGGCTGCTTTCATTTTTTTCATAAAATAAGTAGCATTGCCATTGTGTGCAAAGTTTTCTTTATTTAGAAACTATTGCTTTAGACAGATTCTCAGAAGCAGAAGAATAGTGTGACTATTTTAAAGTTAGGCAGACAGATTTTCATTTATTAAAATAATTTGTTTTAAAGAAAAAGCTTATCATTTTTTTAAAAAAACATATGTACTACATTTTTAAGGAAACAAACAGGAAACAGGGAACAAATTATTTTACTTCAGAAACTATGAGGTAATACTAAAAAATTTTAGGGGATAATAAAGGGTTGGGTGAAACTTCCTTGAGCAGTTTTTTCTGGCACTGGATAGAAATCATAAAAAACTAAGCCAATTCTGAACAAACCATATGTCATATAATCACTGCCCAGGTGTATACACCTGTTTCTTCTTCAAGAAGTCTTATTCAGAATGATGAAAAGTTTCAATTCACATTCTCTTTATCTCTCCAATTCTCTCTCTTCTTCTTTCTCCCTTCCTCCCTACCTCTACTCTGGCTACTCTCTCCAAATCAAGGAAGCCAGATCCAGCAATTAATGTCATAATTAAAGATAACAAAACAAAACCTTCCATCACTATTCCATTTTGAGTAGGAGTCTGTAAGGCCACCCACAGGATGTTCGCACTTAACTGGTCACATAATCACAATCCATATAGGGGTCCTCCTTGGTAAGACACATGCTATCCTAGTGTCTACTTAATATTAAATAATAATTTATAAAAATTCAGCTTTCAATACATTTTGAGACACAATGGTATTGAAATAAAACAAAAACCTGCCACTGTCACTAATAAAAATCCTACAATGGAAAGGAATGTCTTCCTGCAGTGGCAAAGTCAGTGGGGTTTAATGACACACCATATCCCAATTCTCAGCAACTAAGCTGAGACTGGAGAATATAGCACAGTTTATCTTTATAGAAATTAATTAAAAGTTAGTCTTCTGAGAGTCTCCTTACAGAAACTAAGACCATCCACTAAAGGGGAAAGAGGGAGGGATGACACCTATGGTGTTAACAAGAGATGGTCAAGTTCTGCCAGTTGGTAAGGATTTGTTAAGGGATCCACACCAAAATCCCCATCAACTCTTGCTTTGTAAGTGCTACAGGCTGAATGTTTGTGTTCCCCCAAAATTTGTATGTTGAAATCTAGCTAACCCCCAAAGTGATGGTATTAGGAGGCAAGGCCTTTGGAAGGTAATTAGGTCATGAGGCTGGAGCCCTGGTGAATGGGATTAGTGCTCTTAGAAAATGGGCCAGAGAGAGTTTGTCTTCCTCTTCCACCATGTGAGAACATAGCTAGAATGCAGTGTCTATGCAGACTGGTCCCTCACCAGACACCAAATCTGCCAGCACCTTCAGCTGGGATTTCCCAGCCTCCAAAACAGCGAGAAATAAATTTCTGTTGTTTGTAAACCACCCAGTTTGTGGTATTCTGTTATAGCAGCCTGAATGAACTAAGACAATAAATTAGCTCACAAAGTAGCCAATAAACACAATTTCAAACTCACTGTGCACAGTAAAAACTAGATAAGTAGAACTATTAGGAGATTAGAGGAGAAAATGGGTAGTTATGAAGGAAAAAAATAAGGAAAGGGTGTTGTGGTCCAAGAACTAATACAAAAAAGAAAGACAAGCAAACAAGTAAAAACAAGTTAAAAAAAAAAAAACCTGAAAAACAAACCCAAAACAACAACAATAAAACATGAAGGGAAACAGCAATGCTTAGGTTCCTGTCATCAGTTATGTAAGGTTATCCTTCTGTCACTGTCCACACCCCACACCTCTATCTTCTGATAAGAGGTAAGTTCAGGCCTTATGTGGAGCCGACACAAGAGTTCTCAGTAAAAGAAGGCAGCAGAGAGCTGTCTGGGTGCTTGGCTCATTTATCCTCTAAGTCACTTATTTGTTCCACAGAAAGTCACTGGCTTGCAAAGAGTTAAAATGCTGTATGTGATTATTGACTAGAAACAGGTAGATGATGCTGTTAGGAGAACACTTCAATCTTCCTAAAGCCAAACCTTACACGCAGGGATACCTAAGTGGACCTTCATTTCCTGCCCTCAAATAAAGCACTTCTTTCTCTGGCACACAGCAGAACTGGCAGCAATTAATTGTCAGAACTGCTTATACTGTACATGTTCTTATAATGTACACAATTAATTGGCTGAACTGCTTATACTGTACACGTTCCAGGACTCAGTCAACAAGCCTCTGTGCTCCTCCTGCCAACAATTCAGAGGTTCATGGCACAGAAAGGGTGCAATACTTAAATTAAGCAGGACAGGCTTCTCTCTCTTTGAGAAACGGGAATAAATTGATGACATTCCTTTTCACTTTTGGAATTGCAAAAGGTCCACAATATCTGCTTTTGGATTCAATATATGTATGTTTCCAAAAGAGTGAAAAACGCAGACTGACCATCCAAATGCCTTTGCAGCTCTGCAGGCATTTCAGGCAAGACAAAAGCAATTTATGGTACAATTTCTCCCCACTTTGGATGCAGAGTTGCTTGACCTACCTTAGTGAAAACAGCACAAACTAGAAACTAGTGCTGCTAGCCAGTCATCCCTAATTAGAATGCGATCTGCAGTGCATACTTTTATCTTTCCTTCTCCAGTGCATTAAGCAGAAGTTTGAACTCCAAGTTCTCTCCCAAAAGAAATGCCAAGGCAATTCTAAATGCACAAGGCAATCTTACCAGCTTTCCAGAGCTACACATGGCCTTCAGGATAAGAAGCTGGCTCCTAAGCGTGATATATAAGGTCAAACATAATTTGTCTGGATCTGAAGATTTCACATTGCCCAATTTTTTTTTTTTTTAGCAATACTTGTAGTTCTCAACATGTAATGCCAAACTATGTAATGCCTCCATGCAACACTGCATGCAGCAAAAGCCCACTCCCACTCCTGGGGTTCGTAATTCAAATTCAATATTCCTCGTGTCATGTCTATGCATTCTCCATATTAGACCACAAAGGTCTTAAAATCCTATTCACTAGCAGCAATTTCTTGCCACTGCCCACTGATGGTAAACTAGAAGAAAGAACTCTCTATAGCCAACACATCCTCAGGATCTTCCTTCCAACATACACCTGAGTTCTGTAAGACCCAAGATGGAATTTTCACCATCCTCCAGGAGACTGTCAGATCTAAATCTACCATATTTCTAGCTTCACTGGTCCATTTCTAACTTCACTGGTCCATTTCTAATTTCACTGGCCATAATTATTCTATAGTATGCTGGAGCTTTTTTCTTTGTTGCCCCTTCCCAATGTCCTCTGCAAACCATTATTCTTCTACCTCCCAGTAAAAACCTCTTTTCCTTTGCCATCTTGCCGTACTACACTTCAACTCTCATCACAGCTATTGTCTCCCAAGTTAGTCATCACTCTTCCTATTTTACCAATGATTTTGACATCTGGCTTTCAAAAGTCCTCCTCATCCCAAGTCCTGCCTGAATGGTAAGAAAGTTAAGAGGAGAGTCCAAACATAATCAGGCCACCTGGGTTCAGGTCTTGGTTCTACTATGTACATAGCTGTGTTGCCTCGGTCATGTTCCTTAACTTCCTTTTCTTGAGTTTCCTCATTTATAAAACAGGAACGGTAATAGTAATTCATAATAATTGTTGTATAGACTAAGAGTCAATGAACGTAAAGGATTCTGAATGGTACCTGATATGTAGTAAACCCTCAGTAAACATTAGTTATTGCTCCTATCATCATCATCATCATCATCACCATCACCATCAAAGACTACCTCAATGTCCACATGGGTAACTCATTTAACATGTTCTTTGAGCTTTTTGAGTTCTTTGAGCTCCTTGCCTCCAATAAACTTCTTCACCACTCTACCCCAGCAACCCTCTTCTACAGCTCATCCTAGATTCTGTCATCAGAACTTCTCTACCTCCAAAATCTTAAATTCAAATATTCCATACTCTGACCACCACCTCCTATCCCTTCAGCACTCAGAATTACCCATTCCTCCTACATCTGTTTCCCATCGTGGTAACCTCCAAATGCCAAACTTGTCTACTTCCGTAGCTCCTTCCTATCTTTGCCTCTTTTTGTACTTGCTCATACTATCTCTCATCCACTCTTTTTACAACAACCTCAATTTCCATATCTCATTTTCCTTCTGTACAAACTACCTGGCAAAGATCCTACCTTGGATGAATCAAATTATCAGGCTTTTCCTGACAGAGTTGCTGAAAGCTACTGAGGAGAATCACACAACTGTAAAGATCAGTACCACTGTTATAAATGCATGGTCTCCATCTTCAAGGTTACCCAGCAATCTTTCTATTTCCTTACCTAGTTTGCCATCTTCTGTCCTTCACAATGGCTATTTTAGACCTTTACCCCTCTCCCCAAACCTCTGATTTTCCTGACCATTACCCAATCCCATCTACCCCTACCTCTGTTTCTATTCTTCATAAATGATCTATCACACTTAAGAAAAACCAGGAATGAGATGAGAACTACAATTTCCTTCTACCCAACCTATAAACCTTCCTTAACTGTATCCTACCCGATCCTTTCTCTCTGTCACAATGAAGGAGGTATCCTGCTTAAGACTAATATTGTTCTCTGTGCTCAGTATTCTAACCCTCCTGCCCTATAAGGCAGTGGTTCTCAAAGCATGGTCCTGGTAAGCGGCTTTGGCACACTCCAGGAACTTTTTGGAAATGCAAATTCTCAGAACCCACTCCAGACCTACTGAGTCAGAAACTGTGGAGTTGGCACCCAGCAATGTTTTTTATTTCCAGCTCCTCAGAGCAAAAAACAAAGACCAATTTATTTTTAACAAGGCCTCCAAGTGAGTCTGATGCATGCTAAAGTTTGAGAACCACAGCTCTAAGGGATTATTTACTGTTTATCCCTTTTCCCATATCTTTAATCTCCTTTCTTAGTACAATGGTTCTCTTGGCTGAAGAGCCTACTACTTTACTAGGCCATATACAGTTGGCTCTTAAACAATACAGGTTTGAACTGTGCTTGAACTGAACTCCGCTTATAATTTTCTCCTGCCTCTGCCACCTGAGACAGCAAGACCCAACTACTCCTCTTCCTCAGCCTACTCAACGAGAAGACCACAAGGATGCCTGTAAAATGATCCACTTCCACTTAATGAATACTAAATATATTTTCCCTTATGATTTTCTTTCTTTCTTTTTTTTTTTTTTTGAGACAGAGTCTTGCTTTGTCACCCAGGCTGCAGTACAGTGGCACAATCTCAGTTCACTGCAACCTCCATCTCCTAGGTTCAAGCGATTCTCATGCCTCAGCCTTCAGAGTAGCTGGTATTACAGGTGTGCACCACCTCGCCTGGCTAATTTTTGTATTTTTAGGAGAGATGGCGTTTCACCACGTTGGCCAGGCTGGTCTTAAACTCCTGACCTCAAGTGATCCACCTGCCTTGACCTCCCAAAATGCTGAGATTACAGGCATAAGCTGCCATGCCCAGCCCCTTATAATTTTCTTAATAACGTTTTCTTTTCTCTAAACTTTAAGAATAATGAATATGACATCACAATATGTATTAACCGACTGCTTAGCTTATTGGTAGGGCTTCCAGTCAACAGTAGGCTTTTAGTAGCTACATTATAGGGGATTCAGAAGCTTATGCAAATTTTCAACTGCACAAGGGGTTGACATCCCTAACCCCCACATTGTTCAAGGGTCAACTGTATATTCTTGCCCTTTCCAGTCTATTCACCATATAGGCACATATCTGATTATATCATTCCCTACTTAAAACTTCCTAATGACTTCCCACTGATCTTCATAAAGACCAATATTTTAATAAGGCTTCAAGGTTCTGCATGCCTCTCAAGACTTCTCTTTCACCACCAGCTCTCCTTCTCCATCTGCCCAGCAAGGTCAATCTCTCTCAATTTCTTGAGCATGCCATGCTGTATGGCACGTAACCCACTTTGAAATTGTTATTTCCTCTGTCTGAAATACTCTTCTTCCCTGTTTCTTTTCCTAATTCCTACTTTAAATCTCAGCTTAAACTAACTTTATTTAAAATGGCCTAATCTGACATCTTAGTTTCTATCAGGTTCCTGTTGGAACAGAACTCTATATTTACCCACTCGTAACCCATGTCAAGCTTATCATTATTATAATTATTTAATTATTAGAAATATAATAATCCTTGCCAGGGTATAAGCCTTGTTAGGGCAGAAATCACAATCATCTTATTTACTGTAATATTCCCAGTACCCAGCTTAGTATAGTACCTTGCACATAGTAAATGCATAATGACTATGACTGAGCCTTTGCATACGCTGTAGCTCTGTCCAGAATGGTTTTTTACCACCATTAACACCCCCTAGTAAAATCCTACACATCCTTCAAGAAAAGTTAAACATCTCTGAGAAGTCTTACCTGCACATCCACACCACTTGCCTGTTCAAGTGAATCACTTCTTCTTTGTGTTCTTACTGTATTGTATACATAAGTATGTTAATGCAATAATTATACACCACTGTAAATACCTAGCTTCATGTGTCAGTCTTCACTAGATCATAAACTCCCTGAGGGCATGAACTATTCTTATTCACCTTTGTATCACCAAGGCTTAGAAAAGTACCTGACATTGACAAGTAGATA